GATCCAAGGGATAGTCTTCATGATGTCATCGAGTGAAGAGATCTGAGAAAATTCTATTAGTCTCTAGTCGTAAAAATGTTGTGTGCTTGTTAGGTATAATATTATGTATCTACTTATTGTATAAAACACTATTAAAACGTATGCAGTCTCTATTATATCATCGTCGTCTATTGATGATATTTGATAATAAGCGATATAAATAAGAAATTTATTGACTTTGAAAATAAATATACATATCTAGTTGGGTAGAGTTGACATTGTAAAATGATCAATTTTAAAAGTGAAATATAAGAGAAGCCACTTTTTTCTTGTAAAAAATGGTATAAATGTCGAAAGGTAAATGTACTATATTCTCAATTCATATTAAAAGTTTTTTTATAAAGTTCAGTCTTTCTTTGCTCACAAGACCAACAAACTAGACTCAAAAATAAATAAAATAAATGAAAAGTAGGTATACGAGTGTATAAAAACTTCCTGCACACTCAACCAAGCGCAATACAAAAATTTGAAAAGCAAATAAAAACGTGTACCTAATAGTATTATGATCCACTTACATGCTCCACCGGTAGTAAAAAAGCCGCATTCAGCAAAATAAACTGTGGTAATATATTATTTTCGCTAATATTATAAATTTGACATCGTTCGTTAGTTTCGTCTTTTCCAGATAGCAATGAAACAACATATCTACGTTATTTTATTCACAGGGTTAGTTCGTCGGCCAGAAAGTCATATATGTATTACATCGCCTTTTAGGCAGTGGTAATAATGTCCTCCCGACCGATTCCGGCTACGGCGGCCAATCTCATTGAGACTAGCCATCTGCGCAGGAGATATTATAGTGCACAAGTGTACGCGCAGACACAACGTGCACTCTCTATTCCTGTCACTCTCATACTCCGGTGGGACGCGAGAGTGAGAGTTAGGGCGCAGGACTGACGGCTTTACATGCTCTCCGAAGCACGGGGGTGAAACACCGCCAACTTCTCAACTACGGGCTGTTACTGAGGCTTACTAAACAGAAAGACCCAATAACTAAACTTGGCCCGACCCGGGACTGGAATAAAACCCAGGAGCTCCGGATGTGCCGTCATACATGCTAGCCACTACACCATTGAGGCAGTGTTGGCCCATCAGCAACGCACTTGTCTGGAAATGCAAGTAAAGCCTGTTTAAACTCAAGACCTCTTAGATTTCATGTATGAATCAATTTTAACATAATTGCTATTGATTGAATACTAGTTTGGTGATGTAGATGGTGCTCTTGTATACTTATGTCTATGGTATATTAAAAATAAAATATATTGGCAAAACTGTTAGAACTAGAAATAACCCTATTTAAAAACTCCAATAGGATCCCATTAAAAGAGACAAAGCCACATAGAAACCAATAAATATTTATTGGTTCCTGGCTTTTGTCGCTTTTGGTGGGATTCTATTGGAGTTTTTCAACAGGGAAATTGAATTCATTAAAGTCACTCCTTTTCGACGCTCGAGTTTCATTATGAAAAGCCCGGATCCAGACAAAGTAAAAGAACATTTAAAACATGTCAGAAGTCAAGTTGTGACTATAACGTAATAATTAGAAAAAGTCTAAACATCAAAAATGTCAGTGAAAATTTACTTTACAAATAGCATCAAGCAAGCACCGACTTCGAAAGTATCTGTTTAGGGTAAAACCCCCGTTTAGTTATTTTTAACAGTCTAGTACCTGGAAGTCGGTTTTTTTTAAGTTTTTATAAACCGTATCAGCTACACTAATGAGAAGTTAACAATCATATAAACTGTGATTTAAGTACCCACGAGGTATGTTATTGTATACACCGCAGTGCGTTGCGTGCACGCCGCACGCGCGCTCTCGCTGCTAACGACGCTCTAATTGAACACACTCATCTCCACTGTCTCGCGTGACATGTTAACATACGTTATCTATACATATAATAAAATTGTAATGAAGCCGAATCTGTACATTAAATATTTTTTGGAAAACCTTTTTGAAATAAACATTATTATCGATACAGAGGCCAAATCTATAGTTTTTAGAATTTTTTGGTATGGTGATAGCTAGTTATCCGGATCAACATATAGGATACTTTTTACCGCGGGAAAATATCTCATTTCTGAGAAAAAATACAAAAACTGCAATGTCTCTTACAATTGGATTTCACTAATATGTAAAACCTAAGACTTTGGTTTTTGGTCATTTGAACGCGGGCGGAGCCGCGGGCAATGCTAGTTATTTATATTTATGTATTAGCATACGCCTTCATCGCCGGTTTTTTTCATTTGACACCTAAAAAATGTTTTTCGAAATTTTTTGAAGGGATACATTTGTTAAATAAATGAAAGAGGTGTCCTTATAAACTTAATAAATATTGTGTATCTTTATAAACATGTTGATCGTTCGTTTCCTGGTCGTGCGTGGCGCTTGTGTTCTCTTTTTAATGTCATCGTTGAAAAAGTTATGTGTTCATTAGTTTGAAATACATAGGTATATGCTCAAAATGTAAGAAGACTTACTCAATTTTATTGAAACATAGCTGTAATCCGATGAAATTTTTGAAACATTTTAAGGGGCTCCCACTTTAGGTGCCGACATGGGACGGGTCTAGCTCGTCAGCGCATGCAGCATCCCACAATAGGGCCAGGCCCCTTTTCTAAGGAACCAGCGACATACCATTAAGTCTCATGTCATCATCTCGACTTATACCAAATGGCTCAATAAGAGCAGGAATGTCAGTGATGGGAAGAACCCTTTTGATAATATTATTTTGGGAACCATGACGGAGAAGTCTACCTGAACTTCTTCTACAAGAGAGTCCATGGAGTCCATAACAGTCAACATCTTTTTCACACCGGCATCTGAGCTCAATGCACAGCGGTGTAAAGCGGTCTAAAGCGATACGAATTAGTAAGTAATTTTTACAATTTTTTATAGCTTAAAGATTTAAACGCATAACCATGATTCTTATAAAAAGTAGAGGTAGAATGTTAAATGCGTCATCATGCACGTTAGAGTATAATGGAAACAGCTTGAAACAAGGTCGATTAGGGACTGTCTTCCGATATTTTTCAGTTCAAATATCCTCATTCGAAGCCATGCATTAAACTCTTCAGAGCATAATTTAGCCTTTGTTAGGCTTTATACTTCCACCTAAATTTTGTTCTTATGTCTTAAGGGTAAGGACTACTTGTCTTTATTTATCGCAGTATTTCGAATGCGGAACGATATTTTTTTGCTTAGGTAATATTATAAAATTTACTTAGGTAGTATTATAAAATCATTATTCTTAAAAAACTGTATTTCGATTAAATAGACTTAAACTTGATCAATACAATACTTAAGTTAGCATCTACAAGTGCATACCTGTAGTTTAGATAAATGCCATTTCTTTCTTTCTTTCTGTCTTTCTGACTTTCCAGGTGACAAAACTTTAGTCTCTCCTGTGGCGAACAAAAAAATAAAATGAAACCGCAAGTAAATCTGAAAAGTTTTTTTTTTATGAAAAAGTATTTGTGTAAATCTAAGAAAGTTTTATAATCAAGCATAAACACACCTATGATGAATATTTAACGATTCTTAATCAATACGTCCCGCAGGTGGCGGTGAAGGCGCGGGTCGCGCCGGGCGCGGTCTCAATTAGCGATACTGGAGAGCCCTCGTGATTACGCAACAGACACATGTCCGAGCGTTGTTTAACTGTCTCACGAAGACACGCAACACGTAACTATTATAGAATATGTTATATACTTATTCATTTAATTTATATATTACGAAAACGGTACTAAAGTCTACATATCATAGACTACAGAGAGGATATTTGAGCTGAGTTGCTATTATATCTTGTAGTGAAATGTACACGAAAAGTTTAGTTAGTAGGCGGTGTAATTAGTATTATATTACTAATAATTTTTTAATAAACTACTGCTGGGAACGAGCCTTCCCTCAAAATGATGGGAATCACGCCATAGTCCACGTTGGCGGCCAAATGCAGGTTAGCAGATTTCACGTGTGTTCGAATGGTTTTTTTTTTGATATGCGGCATTTCTTACAATGTTATTCTTCACCGTAGGTTATTATTTTATTAAAAATAATTCCTACGTCAAAACTTCAAATATATGGTACCCGGGATTTGAATCCAGTTCACTTGGTTGTCTAAGCAAGATCGTTACTACGGAGCTAAGCCTCAAGCTTATTATAGACAAAGATACGAATAAAATTAGTTTCGGCGAAATATCAGAATACAAACAATGAATGCTGAAGAATTAATTTACTTAAAATTTCGAAATGAAACATGATGCGACCTGTTGCGGCGACTTGACGGTTCAGAGAATGGATGCATTGCGATAATGCGGCGAACACCGACACCACTCCACGCCACCCTTGACCTAAAACCTGTTCGAGTTAAAAATATTGTAATAATAGTCTCTTGGAAGTTACTCAAGTCGAGTGCTTCAGAAAATCTCAGTGATGAGAATACTACTGTCTCATTAGTGTCATTTAGTCTGTATACCTACTGTGATGTGATACTAATTTTGTGCAAAAATTTATATGGAATAAACATTTTGGACTTAAAATAGATATTTAAATAACAAATAACTATAGAATCGAGAACATTTCTGTTGTGCTTATACTTATTTTTAAATGTTAATGTAAAAAAGAACTAATAATAATTATTTTTGTAGCTAAGAAAATAACGTAATTTTATTTATATTCAAAAGTACTAGTTCATCCCTCGCTACATTCTGACGGTTAGTATGGAATAGATAGACTACATTAATATTGTATATACATAGGTACAAAATAAACAGTTCTGAACTTTTAGATTTTCCAGCTGTTTTTTGGGTTACCCTATTTGTTTTATACTTTAACCACCCGACACATCTCCAACAAAAGAAAAAAAGAATTATTCAAAAAGCCGTTTTTTAGTTTTAGCGACGCTAACGAACGGCAATTGATTTATATAAGTATATATAAATAATGTGCGTAAACTGATATTTTAGAACTTTTCGAATCGTTCAACTGCCTTCTGAGGAAATATCGTGCACGCAAGGTCGGCGAGGCGGAAGCGCGTGGCGGCCGGCGACGGCGCCTTAATGTGCTGGCGAAAGACTTGTTCTAAACTAACGAGGCGCGCTGAAAGGGTGCCATAATATATTCTGTTAGCGATAATATTCAGGATATATAAGTTAAAGGACCAAAATTAATATTTGCAGTATAAACAGATGAATCATTGTAATATATTATTAGTCAGGTTGGATAGATTTACAAAGGTATTCAGGTTAATCCAAAACAGTGATTATCTGTAAAAAATACAGCATATGATGTCTATATAGTATATAGTGTACACCTTTAAATTAGTTCCAAAAAAGTGTTATTATTTCATCATGACAAAACGGAGGAGTTTATTCATCAGAATCTTTTTTTTTTCGTGTTCACTGCGAAAATATCTGATTAGGTATCTATTCTAGATAAAAAACCCCTGTTTAGTTATTTTTACATTTTAGTCAGGTTTTATTTTTTAAAGTTTTTGTTTATTTTTCAACATATAAATGAAATCTTGAAGCGAATACAAAACAGTTTACTATTCGTGACCATTGTGTTAGTGTGATGGACTACTCATAGAGGGATTGCGAGAGCTAGACTATCCGGAAAAGATAACAGACACTGATAACATTGAACAACTAGTCAACAAATTAACGCTGTTAATGAACACATGCTATGAGGCAACCTGCCCATTAATCTACCCTCCGGAAAACCCAGCGGACAAACGGTCATGGTGGGGTCCAGAGTTAAAACGCCTTAGAACCAAGGTTAGGAAAGCCTTCAACAGGGCTATGAATACATATAACGATCAGGATTGGGACCAGTACAAGAATGTCAAGGCCATGTACAAAAAACGTATAAGATATTGGAGGAACCGTGCATGGCGGAAATACTGTGATTCCATAGAATCGTTTATACAGGCTAACAGAATCCGGAAAATCCTCACCGGACAGTCACAACGAGAACTGGGTTCACTAAGGAAACCAGATAACACCTATACCAAATCATTAGAAGAATCACACCAAGTGCTTCTGCAGACGCATTTTCCCGACTGCACAATGGTTAATGAACACAAGTGGTTAGACATACACCACAAGGCAACAGACATCTCCTGGCAAGTTGCGTCAGAGGTCATAAACCCCAAGAAAATAACGTGGGCCATCAAAAGCTTCCAACCATTCAAGGCACCGGGTCTAGATGGAATCTACCCCGCCTTTATACAATGGGGAGGCCCAAGACTGCACCACATACTTAACAAAATATACCAGGCATGTTTGGCTTTTGGCTACGTGCCTAAAACCTGGAGAGAGGTTAAAGTAATATTCATACCGAAGCCAGGTAAAACAGACTACTCGGATGCAAAATCCTATAGACCAATCAGTCTCACATCATTCCTACTTAAGACTATGGAAAGATTATGTGATAGACACCTGAGAGATAACGCTTTAGCAAAAACACCCTTACACAGGAATCAACATGCCTATAGTTCAGGCAAATCAACGGAATCAGCTCTTCATGCAGTAGTATACAAAATTGAAGAGGCATTAGATACCAAGGACATTTGTCTGGGCACCTTCATTGACATTGAAGGTGCTTTCGACAAAACCAACTTCACTAGTATCAAAGCCGCACTCAGCAGACACAAGGTGAATCCAACAATAACTGACTGGATCCAATATATGCTAGCGAATAGAGTGGTCAGGCTAGGTAACAGCAACAAACAAGGTGCCATCGTGGCCAAAGGATGTCCTCAAGGAGGAGTACTCTCACCCCTCTTATGGAACCTAGTAGTCAACGACCTAATAACCCTGCTCAACAACAACAGATATTATACGATAGGCTATGCAGATGACCTAGCCATCCTTGTAACGGGCAAATTCACAAGTACAGTCTGTGAATTAACTCAGACAGCACTGAATATAGTCGAAAAATGGTGTTATGACTATAATCTGAGTGTTAACCCACGCAAAACAGAACTAATAATGTTCACAAACAAAAGAGCCCTAGGAAACTACACCCTGCCGAAACTCTTTAACTCCACCTTAACATTAACCACAGAGGTAAAATACCTTGGAATCACTCTGGATAGCAAACTAAATTGGTCTAAACACCTAGACAATTTATTAAACAAAGCCAGTATCACCTTCTGGCAATGCCGAAGGATGATAGGTAAAAAATGGGGCCTCAATCCCAAAATAACTCTATGGCTATATACATCGGTAATACGACCTATGATCAGCTATGGTGCCTTAATATGGTGGCGTAGAACACTTTTGACCACAGCACAAACCAAGCTACAAAGCTGGCAAAGGTTGGTGTGCATGGCAGTGACAGGCTGCATGAGAACAACTGCGATGAAGAGTGGAAGACTGCTCCATCCGCATACTATCAGACAGCATGTCAGCACTACAGGCATTAAATAGTAATTCTACCACAAATCGCTTCCAAACATTGATGTCAAAATGTCGAACCGTATCATCAAACTTAACAGACCTCAACTTAGGCAAATAACCGCGGCCTTAACCGCATGGGGGCAGATGAAACGGCTGCACATGTGATCTTGTATTGTCCAGGTGTAGCGGAGTACCGGGCTCAACATCTTGGCACTCCTAGGTCACTCCCGGAAATCTTCGGCAAGACAAAGAAGTTGCTGAAATTCCTGGAGGAGCTGGGATGGCAGGAGTAACGAGAATTTAAATTCCCACACACGCAAAATAGGCGCATAGTCGTCGAGTTGCGGAAACCAGCCCGAACATACCATACCATACCATACCATAGTGTGATGGACTATTGCGACAGTATTCTCTTAAACATCTAGTTCTATTACAACAGTAGTGCAAATAGACTTAAAGAAAAATTTGCAATATAATCAAACAAACAAACGACTTGTTAATGTCAAGATGTTTATCTGCTTAGCAAGTATCGGTCTGTACACAAATTACAGTAAGTGTTAAACAAAACATTACCTCACCAATCATTAGAGGCATAAAGTAGAGCTAAATAGCGAATATTGGCGTGTCACGGAAACAAATGACATTCACGATTTATGGCTTTGTTTTCACATACTACAAAGTATGTTTATGTTTGAATGACATTTTAATACATTGTATTGTTGTATAAATATATAATGTGCACAACAACTGACATGTTCTAGCGCCTTGAAGTAGTCGCAGTTGTAGCTCATCACTTCCAATCTCTATCTATGCCGCTGCTGTGATATTTAGTTGTTAAAATTGGCCAAATACTGGGCCGTTCGATCGTGTCAGATGTCAGAGTTTCGATTCCAACGAAAATAATAGATAAGTAATACATTTTATTTGTTAAGGCCGACGCGTAAGTGTCATATCTTTGAATTCAGTTCTCTCTTGGCTCTTGCAATCATTAACAATATAACAAGTAAAAGTTTATAAAAAGACTGTTTCATACATGTTTCTGGTTCTTGGTATTCAGTAATAACACATATAATTGCTTATTTCAGGTTGTTTGTTGATCGTACTTGCAGCCCGCGCTTGCGACATCTCGCGCCGCCAGATAAGTCCAACGTGTGACGCGCTCCGGGAATGCCAATTATTCTGCCCGTGACATATCACAGGACGTAAACCTTTCATAATAATATAATCAAGGGGCAATTCTGATGAATTGAGTTTTTTGCTCAACAATTTCTTAAACATTAAACATAATTAAATAACATAACAACATCACATTGTTCGTAAACAGGTTGTGATTTAAAATGTATCACAAAATTCTTTGTATAAATAAATATAAAATTGTACTATAAACCAAAGTAAAATTTTAGTAAAGTTAAAGTTAGACATCTACTTTTATAGTTTTCGTAAAGAATGTTTTAAAACATTCATATGAGATGTTATGTTTTGTTATTAGTAGGAAACGACGTGAATAAATTTCGTTATTGTCGAGAGCCACGTGACTGACTTCTGACTCCTGAATGATGAAAACTCGTGATTATGCAATTAAAATACCACCAAAAATCGCGTGAGCGGCTCTCACGTTACAGCACAATAGGGACGCCCTTGTAAATATAATTTACTTAAATGATATTACATTTTAATGAATACCTTTAAGTAGAGTTGTGTGTGAAGTCCTCATTCCTGCTTAAAATAAGAAATAGCGTATTCTTTTTTTATGAAAATTACTTTTTAACGCAAAAACATTCAAAAATATACTTGAATACTTTAAAAATTACAATTTTATTTGCAGTGCATTTGCTATTAATATTTAAATTATAAGATAATTTTGTACAATTGGTATCGAAATTCATACAAATTTAAACTCTTACTATACTTATGTATAAGCAGATATTAGAGTTTTTTTTTGTTTTATATTTAAAATCAAAGTGGCGATGGCAGCCCTAAGCCGCACCGATACTTATGACACGCGAAGAGGTCAGTGCGCCGAGCACGGCTTTCGGCTATTTAACTTTTTATAACAACACTTAATTATATTTTGTAGAACATTAGTGAATACACTGTATCGGCTAGAATAGAACACACTAAAAACTCTTTGTTTCATCGACCTTGAGATTATATCTTATTATAAGAAAAGGCTCACCTACTCGTATATAAATATATTGCGACAAACAGACTGAAAAGACTATTATTACAAATGTTTTTTTTTCATAAAAAACATGTACATACTATGTTATAGATGCACCCGTGCTGTACCCCGCACCCGGTGTGACACAGTTTCGGCAAGTGCGCAAGGTCGACGATAACGAACTCGAGTCACATTTAAATACGCTCTCTTACATCTTTATTTGTCAGCATTTTAACGTTCAGCACTACTATAATTTAATATGGTGATAATAAAAGATTCAATTTACTATTTAGTTTTTTTGACTACTTGTTCATTCTTGAAATTTACGGATAATAATTGATTATAAAGCACTTTAATTGGACTTTGAATTTGCTGTTATTTAGCATCTATGATATTTGAGACTAAGATATATATATATATATATATATACCATATAAGGCTATAAATTCAATTCTAACATATGATGATATTTTTCTATGGGCCTGTACCTGAAGTTCTCGATTAGACTGTAGAGTGTAGAGTAAGGAATAAACAAAAACTATGGATTTACGTTAAAAAGACGGGTAAGTTGAGTTTTAAGTATAGCTAATAACTTGTAAATATAAGATATTAGGAATTCGACCGATATTTTCGAAGTTCATTCGCGTTTATCACATTATAAGTAACAAGTTGTGTATTTAAACCACGCAAGGGGTATTACTCAATCAAAAATATAGAACGTTGACCTTTAAATTGGAACAGTATGATTTAAAAACTGCAAAATGTATGTATGTTAGTCACTATATTTCAAATTGCCGTAAGTTTCCCAGGTGGCAGGTGACCAGCGCCACTTCGAAGAACGATGACGATTACTTATAGAGCAACTCACGCGGCGGTTTGTACTGTACACAGCATAGTTTCCAAAGACATTAATAAATAAATGTACCAATTAGATAAATAACTTGTTAATTATATTTCTTCGAAACAACAGCTATAATTATTATGTCAGTAATCATAAATTGTAGGTTTGGAAGAATATCAAAGGTGAAACATGAAAAAGGTTGTCGATGTTCTGTTTTCAGTTTTAAACATTATGTTTAGTTTATCATCTAATTTAGCGTTGATATTTGTTCAGAACATTTTAACATAATAATGAATTATTGAGGGATGAGTAGAAAGTATGGATGTACAGTTAAATCTAAAAGTAGCTATTACTATTTAAGTAAAGATAATTTGGGCTTCGCTCGGCGTTTTTTCTATGTAAAATCGTGTTTATTTGGAAATAGAGAAGTTGCTTGTTTTTTTAAAGCTTACTGAAACTTGTTAAGAAAATATATTTTTTTAACAATAGATTTTTCATGTAATGTCACAATTAAAAGGGTTTTTTAATATTCATTGCATAATACAGCTTATATTTGTATTGAAATTATTTAATTGACATAAAAAAAGGTTATGACACATGATGATCCGAATAAAGAAAATACAAAAGAATAATTTTTATTTCGTTTAAAATTTTAACAATTTTTTATTAATACTTACTAAAAAAATGATGAGGAAATGAAACAAAAAAATATATTTCAAATATAATATTCTTTCTTTTGTACATATATAAATTTGTGGCAAAAAACTGTTTCTGACATATACGAAATAAGTTTCTGTATACATGTATACAAGAATTGCTCATTTAATATTACTAGGTTAAAAAAATGTTCATTGATTATCTATACATCTATACAGATAAATAAAATTGAAGTGTCTGTTTGTAATGGTAATATAACAGCTTTATATTAAATGCATATGAAAATATATACGTTACTCATAACAAAAACATAATTTAAAAAGTTTTTGTTTGTCTGTCTGTCAGTTTGTTCTGGCTTATCTCCAAAAGGCTGAACTGATTTTGACGGGACTTTACATTTTTTTTAATTTAATTTAATTTAATCATTTATTTCAGGTAATATTTACAAAAAGATCTTAAATATGTAAACAGAGGCCCATATCATTGGCAGATAGCTGATGTTATAACGAAAGTAACTTAGGCTACTTTTATTTTAGAAAAAAATAGGGTTCCGCTCAAAAAAAATAAAATGTAAGTAAGTCGTTAGTTTATTAATATATTTGTGCTCAGAACACTACTAAATTACTAGTAAGTCTTCGAATATAAAAATTTGCTAATGTTATTCGAAATTATCATTGTTTATTACTTAATGATCGTATTGAAAAAAAAAAACAATCTATAAATACAGTATATGTAGATCGATAGATGCTTGGGACGCCACAAAGATAATCTAATATTTTTTAAATAATATCTCATAAAGTCACTGTGCGTGCTTAATTAACATATTTCATACTAAAAACTTGTGGTCAATATGATTGCGATGAATTTCGCGTGAAGCAAAGCAATCATTTGATAGAGCGGGGCGCAGGGCGGGCGAGGGCGGGCGAGGGCGGGCGGGTGGCGGGCTAGGTGCGGTGTTGACGCACTACAATAATTTCACGGTCAAATATGAACTTTTATATTAAAATGGCACGAATATCCTACAATTAGCAATAAATAACTCAGCTTCGATTGTATATTAATGAAATTGCTAAGATTGCTGAGTCAAGGACTCCCGTTTCTGTGTCGTAGGTCGGGAGTTTAATTTACTGGCTTCGTGAATTGAATTAATGTATTATTATATAAGAAAATAAACATTTGAAAAATTTGTAATTCATTGAGTAGAAAGAATTTAGCCTTAGAAGTAGTCATTTTTCTATACATATAATAAAATTCGAATTCGAATCGAATCTGACCATTATGTATTTTTTGGAAGATCTCATTGAAGTAATCATTATTATCGGTACAGAGGCCGAATCTATAGTTTTTAGAATTTTTGTCTGTCTGTCTGTCTGTCTGGGAACGCATCACGGGAAAACCACTGGAGCGATTTTGATGAAATTTGGTGTGATGATATCTGGTTATCCGGGTGTTGACCTTAAAAGTATCCTATATGTTTATATAGGATATATTTTACTGCGGGAAAATATCTCTGAGAAATCTATATATGTATGTGTATGTAAAGTTAGTGTGTAATTGCACAATCCTATAATTCTCGATTTTACATAAATTAAAAACGTAATAAAAATTCTTATGTATGAAAACAGAAGGTTGGTTCTAGTCATTAAATATTTAATTAGTATAAGCTACTGTCTGCATGCAGGAATCGAACTTGGACTACTTGCTGTTATGAATACCAAATAGATATTCCATTTTCACCACTATATTTTAGTGAAATAATGCTTATGAGAGTCTCGGAGCAATGCAGCAAGTGTTAGCAGGTACAATGATTTGTGTACATCTTGCTCACGTCGAAGGCATTTTTTAGTAACAAACTAATATTCCACTGGAGTTAACTGAAGTACCGAAAAGACATATATCTACCCTAGGTCCCGACATGAGGTTCTGTTAGCTATATCTGTGTAAAAATACATATATGCTTGTTGAAAAGCTGACAAACCAACAAACGGATTATCTCGCAATACTTACTGACTATTTTTATGTATACACACCAATTCCATTTGAGTTTTAATATTATATCAAAACGGCGCTCAAAACTTCTGCTATTAAAAATACCACATTCAGCACACAAGCACAGTAACGCTTTGTTGTGTCCATCGCTAACAAAAGAAGCTCTTCGCAGTTTTCGAATTCATACAACATACGAATTCAGTCTTTACTACATCAAATTTAAGTGTTATAATTGCTAGGCATATCTTATTACAAATGTTTTGTGAATACTTGAATGTAAATTAGCGTGGAATCGAAAAGAATGAGTCAAGGCCAACAGTGTTATTCCATACAATTACTATGACTTCATTAAGACGTTGGATATACTGGTGTTTAAAAACCTGATAAGAAATCCGCCATTTTACTTTTGAACTATTTTTTTATCAACTAGCTATTGTCTACGGTTTCACTCGCATACTATGATGATAAAAAATGGCCTATTTCAATAAGTGAAAAACTTCCTGTTGAAGTTGGTAAAGCCGATTTACGAATTACGATCTCTAGTATTATTTGTTAGGGAAGCCTCACCATTAACATATTCGTATAAGTAAAGAAATAAATTACAAATTATAGCTTTTTAGTTTTTGCCAATTTGAAGTAATATTTAGCAATTTTTATCTTAAATTACTTTTATATATATGTATGAAAGTTATTTATATTTTTTGATTTATAGTTTGGAAGTTTTTTTTAAACACACACAAATTGGCGCCTTAAATCCGCCATTTTAATTTTTAACTATTTTTTATAGCCTATAACACTCCCGTTATCAAGACGAATTTACGTATGAATCATCAAAATCGGCCCACGCCTTTGGTCTCTAGAATGCCATATAGGAACAAACATAGATACATACATAGACTGATAAACACACTACCCTCCTTTGCGTCGTGCAGTCGGGTAAATATAATTATTAAAGCCAACGTTTTTATTTAATTTAAAAATATTTGTTTGCTTAATGTCACCGATTAACCCATTAAGACGGAGACTTGGCCCGAGAACAAGCAAAAGTAACATACAGCTACGTGATACTTATTTGTTTAAAACAAAATTTCAACAATTATTTGACGTTTGTACGTTACAGTTAACAACTCACGTACTGTATTTATCAATGTTCCATCTCATCGAATTATTCACTTGAAATTACATAATTTTCTATATTTAAAAATCAGATAAGCTTTATCTTGATCTTTCGTAACTAAAGTAATCATCATTAATTATAAAACTATCTTTTCGAATTTCTTCGCGGATATATTTTGACTTTGGTTCCCGACGTTTCAAATGTTTGGCAATAATCATGGTCACAGGTAGTGTTATGTAATTATCACCTATTAAATCACCATATTATTTTATAATAATTATTAGATTACATACTAGCGGCTCACCCTCTCTTTGCTCGGGTTTGCTCTAGATAAGTTTTAACGGTTAGTATGGAATCGATAGACTATAGATGTATTATATTACTGCTCCGCTCCCTTGGGCAGTAGCATGATGATATATTATAGCTTATAGCCTTCCTCAATAAATGGGCTATCTAATACAAAAAGAATGTTTCAAATCGGATTTGTAGTTCCTGAGATAAGCGCGTTCAAACAAACAAACAAAGAAATAAACAAACAGACAGACAGAAACAGACAGAGAGACGAACGAACGAACGAACGAACAAACAAACAAACTCTGCCTCTTTATAATATTAGTAAAAATATGTTATATTATGCAATGCAATGGTGGCGGCTGAAAGTTATTGTGTTAGTCTAGATTCTAGAACATGAAAACTAACTCCTCGCGATGATTGTACTTCCGACCTCGACGGTGATCTGACCCTGTCTATATTCTAACTAATTAAATTGTTGCAACTTAAAGTCAAAGTTCTACGTTGATTTTTAAGGTGTAATAAAAGCCAAATAACACTTTCTATATCCTTGTCAACATTCTTATGACTGATCATTTTGGCTTCTAATGGGACTTTTTGATAGTACGGATATATAACTAAATTTAATAAATCGCTACCTTTTAAGATATAGCTTATAATCTTACTGTGCTTGTATACAAGTGGAATCGCAAGTAGTAGGTATACACTAAACTATAGGTATGCGCAATAAGAAGGCAGTAAGCAGAAAGCACGTAAGAAATAACAACAGATAGGTACTATGTAGTTGTACAGGAATTTAGCTCACATTCACAAAGCAACATTGTTTTGAAACAGTGTTATTTACACGGTGTTGTGTACACCTGCAGGAGCTGTGATACCGTTAACACTATAACTATGATGCGGCTGTGGCTCTAGTATCAGTGTAGTTAAATTTCCGAGCCATAATCAACGGTTTACGATTAAACTCATCATTACATTATAAAGGAATAAAACCTTCAATTACCTGTCTTTTATTTCCATCACTAACTAGAAAATTAACTAAATACTTAATAAAAAATTTTCATTTGTCTCTTTTTTCTATATAAACTAAGTTCAAACCGAATGAAGTACCTGCCTATTGTATTAGAATATTTCGATAGATCGTAAAGCACGCATGCAAGCAAAGCTTCATTGTTAGCTTTTCCTGTTTATGACGTCGTATATTATGATTCGGGATAATTTACACGTTCCGTATTCCGATGTTAGAAGTAATACAGTCACGGATATTTGTGCACCTCGTGTGGGAGCGGCGACGTGCAACTAAGTACCTGTTATTCTTACGCTTTCAATCATCACAATCCGGAATGAGCTTAAATTGAGATGTTTCTTTGGAAGTATGTACTACTCATGTTCAGACTGAACTGGACTAGATAAGTTTTTATACATTTATATATTTTTAAATTCGTCTATTTACATTTTAACCATTTATCTTTCAAATAACTAGTGATTTGTAGACTAGGAGGATAAAAGATACTTTTACCTATTTCCAAATTATGATCATACTCAAAGGAATTATAATCAAGAACAATATTTAGTTACATGGGCATCGGGCTATTGCCGGTATAGTATACCCGGTGACCGGTTTGTCACCGGGTCTCGGCTCAATCAATGCGTCGCGTCGGGAGTGCGGAAGCGACTCTATTAGCGAGTGCAGGGCGCGCCGCGGCCGCCGCGGGCAGCGCCGACGACGCCGCGCCTCCACTTTGCAATATGTATTTGCCATTTAGCCGAGATTTATTTACTGATGACCTTCGCGACTTAGTTGCAACGGAGAACACCGAGTTCTGGTATACCTCGGGGAAGTGTTACAAAGTAACCTTATGATTGATTTTTTTAATTTTTAATTTTGTCTTATTTAAGATAGTAGAAATAAATAATAAGACAGCTTAAACAGTTTATTAAAGTGATTCAATATTTATCAAACTCACTGAGGATTTGGCAAATCGATCCAAAAATATAAATTTTGCGTAAATAAGAAAATTGTAACAATATTTTATGTTTCTTAAACATGAATACAACAGAGATGAGTCATATTTATTTACATTAAGTATGGTAATGTGAAGGTAAATTACGATTCTCTTCGTTAATATAGTATACGAGTATATTCAATGTCCTATAATTGCTAATTGTGACTCATACTTACGCGCGCGTACATACTATAAGATACTCGTAGAAGTATTATATGTACAGTACGCGCGCGCTTTGCCAAGAGAGACCGCATGCTGCCATTGTCTTATAGGAGTTTTCCCTCTTCAAACAATGCCATGAATATACTATACAGTTTGACTGATTTCGAAAAAGGAAGTACCTACTCAATCCGGAAGCACGTTTGTTTGCTCATGTTGTATGAATAGATAAAAATGGTGGTAGTCCCATATTAATGTCAAGAAATATCATTGTTTCATAATAATTCTCTTCGATTCTTCTATATTTGATAGTAATTATATGATAATACTTCATCCAACACTTTTAACTGTATTGTAAAATTTCTTTCCTATCATAATTATTGAGGCATATTTCTGAAATATATTATTCGATTTCTTTAACTTACGGCAAGTTATTTATTAATAAAATATAAAAATATTTATTACTAACTTTTAACTATTCCTATTTACATGTGCGTGTAAATCTTACAAATTATAATTTGTACAGAAACAAATAATAATAGATATTTATCTAGTTTCAGAAACAAAAAGTTAGTCACTGCGTCGACCGCCTCTTTAGGTGTTACGTGAGCGCGCTTTAAACCCGATTCTCCATAAATATAAGAAGTTTGATAATTACAATGGAAATGATAGGTTTAGCCTAGTTTTTCCGACGACATCCGCCTCTGACACGCCATACTCGGGCAGTACCAGATGCCGCTTTAGCTAGAGATTAGAACCGGAGTGACGAGACGTTAACGAAGGAAGCATTTCATTATTGCAAGAGCCTTATCGAATTTCTTTTAGGGTTCCGTATCTCAAAAGGTAAATAAGGATAAAGGAATCCTTATAACATCACTCTCTTGTCCGTCTGTCCGTGTGTCACCACCAATTTTCTCAGGAACAGGTCGACCTAGCAAGTTGAAATTTATACTAGATACTGAGGTCTATAGTTTCTATTAGGTGTATAAAAATCAAGGTCCTGAGTCAACACGATAAAAAGATATAGGCAAATTTATATTTTCGCGAAAACTTGTAAGTACCAAAATTTATCTTAATTCTCACCCTTTCAAAAAAAACTTGAAATTAAAGTTAAACACATTTCCTACTGTACGGAACCCTCGGTGGGCGAATCCGACTCGCACTTGTCCTGATTTTCTATACTTTTTCAAAATATAATAGATGCATCTATAGTAGGGGACGGAAATTAACATGAACGAGTTATATAAAAAAAAGAATGTTTTCTATTCCTTTTTTAACGTGTTATAAGTTTGACGTGTCTGTTGTGTGTGTGTGTGTGTGTCTGTCTGTGGCATCGTAGCTCTCGAATGAAAGGTGAATTATTCGGGAGTGTTCTTAGCTATGTTGGATGAAAATCGGTCCAAGATGGTCGGGGACTCTTGAATTTTTAATTTATCACTTGTCAACTATTTAGGCTTATTTATGCCTAATTATTTCAGAAATTACACCAATTTTTTATTTCATTGGAAGGAGTTATAGAAGATATATAGAAAAGTATGTAAAGACAAATAAAAGGAATACTTATAATAAAAAACAATATATGATAAAGTTAGTTGTTAAATGATTGCATAAAAATTTTAAGCCAAACAGCCTTTTAGATTTAAGCCAACAAAATGATCCATACTTTACAAACATAAAGACATATATTATATTCCTAAATCAACAGCGTTAAGGTCATTTCAACAGTTGAATGATTAATTCAAATCATGTCGCACCATACATAGCTCGCAGATGTCTAGATACGTACATATACTACATATAATATACATGATAAATCTCAAGTTTTCCACAAAAAGAATAAAATTGACTTGCAAATTTAGAACCACTTTAACACGCGTTTAGATTGTGTATCATGTATAATATTTCTTAATCCGTAACAAAATTCAAGGTTATACGTCCATTTTAAATTTTGTATAAAATAGTATGAATTATTTAGAGCACAATTAGACATAAAACAATATTTGTTGTAACATTAATAACTGGCACGTGGCGGTGTTTGAGCGCTGCGCCGGCACTGTGTAGGGTCGCCATCACATTTTGTTCAATTTCGTTTGAATCAGCGTTAATACTGACTTTGCAATATATGTATAAATTAATTAATAATATAAATAATATAAAGTAAGTAAGAAACTGTGATGAAAAAACGTAATATTTGTTCTTATACGCTATTTTTCTTAATTAATAAAAATAATCATATTCAGGCTATGGTGCCTAATATTGACATATTTTTTTAGTTAATTTTTTTTCACAAAATTTTATTTCTTATTTTAAATGAAATTTATGATACAACCTCCTTAGTTTTTCCTTTTGGACATTTACATGAGTCAAAATTTAACAAGAAACCAATATCTAATGGGAACCATTTATACAAGTACTAAAAGCCTATGTTATCCTTCATCTATTACAAAATACCATAATAAAAAAATCCATTACCCATTGATTTTAACAAAAATTGAAAAATATTTTAAAAAATATCAACTTTCGTGGCGAATATAAGGTTTCAAAGTTAAAGCACTGTAGTTCCATCTTATGGCAAATTACAGTTTTACCAGCTAAGCCGTTTCCTAGCTTCCAAATAAAATTTAATATAACAATCGGGTGCGTCTTACTTGGCAGTCCTCGCACGGTTGCTCTATCTGCCCTTCGTTAGAGAACTATATGAATGAGTACACTGTGGGCTACCACAATAAACTCTACTGTACCAAAGTGCTAAGTCACACTGCGTAGTGTCATTTTTCCTGACATCGACGAAACGTGCGAATGCTCATGTTACAGTCCCAGTAGTGCCCGTCGCCTGGGTACAGTACACGCTGTTTATAAAGCACTCTCGATCGCTCCCGATATACGCCGACCTTCGCCTGCATGTGTAGACTTAACCCGATTCATTCCACTGCTCTACCTCTGTAGTCTGTATGTAGAATGGAACACGTACTACGTGAAATGTTTGAAATGCTATCCAAATGATTTCCAATTTGAAATCATATGTCATATAAACATGAGTATGATTCAAATTTTCACGTCTTTGTAGGTGTTTCGTAAAACACACGCTGGATATAAAAAAAATGTATGAATACTGGGCCCAGTAATACTTTTTAATATAATCAAGCTTACGTATATTTTTGTCAAAATAGTTATAAAATGTTTTCTTAATATGATAATAATTAATATTAACTGTTTTAGAGTTAAAAAAATATTCGTCGCATATAGTATAAATCGTCAAAAATTCTTTAAAGATCGATCACATAAATGTTAGAAGTGGGAGTAAATACCTATGTAACTATATATATAGTATACTTCATTTCGACAACAATGTTTACAAACAGACGGCACACGGGATAGAGTCGCCTCACGCCAGATGGTGGACGCCCGCGCGGTCCCACTCCCGCGCCGCATCAGTGACACTGTGTTACATCATTTGTAAGCTTAGGAAAAATTATTTAGAATAGGTATATATAAAGAGATACATATGTACTCATAAATTAAGCCATAAAAATGTTTATAAAAACTAAAACTTGACAGAAATTATTTCGAGTAGGTAAACCTATATGTAAATACATTGTACATACTATACGCTACCTTCTTTAAGTTATTTTTCATAAAGCTCGCACTATAAAAGCTTTCTTTGTAAAATATTTGCTGTAAGAATTTAATTCAACAGATGTTTCTTCTTTAGTTTTAATAGAACTTTTCATTGCGAGATACATCGCAATAAACCGAGGCAAGTAATAGAGAACAATTTACTTCCTTCCACGAGCGTCGTTAGTTTTACGCGAGTTGACCTTATTGTGAGAGCGCAGCTTTTATATTAACACTAGCGGCTCACCCTCGCTTCGCTCGGGTTCGTCGCTAGGTACGTTTTAAATAGATATAAAAAGAAAAAATCTTTCTTTCTCACATTTTAATTATATGTTTTAATACTTACCTATTCCGGACTAAGAGAAATCCAAAAATTAAAATATCATAAAAATTGGAACGCGGTCGAACGGGATAAAAAGTATCCTATGTCCTTCTCCTGGCTCTAAACTACCTCCCTGCCAATTTTCAGCTAAATCGGTTCAGCCGTTCTTGAGTTATAAGCGAAGTAACTAACACGACTTTCTTTTATATATATAGATTATTAAGTTGCAGGAGAAAATTGCATGTTTGAAGGCGGCAGGAATATGGCGTTGTTAATTGCTTCTGTTTATCTTTGTATTAAAAAAAATGAATTGTAATTACAATTAGGTACCATAATTGTTACTCAATTTTCATAATATTTACTGAGTGAATGTTTGTATGTACATCTGTTTCGTTGGCGTACATAATGTATCGTGGGTGAAAGTTCTTAGAAACTTAGGAAATAATATAATATGGTGATATTGGAGAAAAAATTACAATTACTTTTTCCTTTAATTTCGTTTATATGTCATCCAACGACAAACATATCGTATACGATAATATTTTACTTACAATAAACAAAATTATAAATATACTTTATAATAATTTATAATTATATATACAAAACAAATGCACACTTAATTATTACTGTACATGTCATGTCCGCGTGGAATAGTGGCGAGAATGCTAGCTGGGTATTTCTCCGAGAATGCGTTCTTCGTCTGATTTATCTGGCCAAATTTTTTTTTCACTTTTGGCCCTATTCAACATACTCTTATG